AATTTTATTCAGTGCTCCTCCCCTCCAAATCTCTATTCTATCTTATTGACAAGTTGAAAGCACACAATATCTAGCTTTCTCTTAAAAGGCTCATCTGAGGATTCCACAGTTTAACAGATCAAAGACAGCATATGGGGAGAATTGGGTTACATGAGACAGACTAGCCAATACAGATCATACAACCAGTCACGGACTGAGAGCAGAGCAGAGATGAGCAGGTATTAATAAGGATAGGAACCTGAAATTACCTTGGGCAGGTAAGCCATGTGGTCAAGATTATTTTGGGGAAATGGGAATCCATAGGGATGGAATAAATTAAAGAAGAATGAATACAGTACATTTGCTTTGTACTGCAATCTGTGGAATTTGGTTGCCTATAAGTTCTATATATTTGTCCAGCTGAACATCAGCATCTGATTGATATAATACAAAGTTAAATTGAAATTTGGGGTATTTTTAATCAGTAAAAGCTTGATAACTGGCAATCTGTTTTCACTATTCGGTTAATCGCCCTGTTAATCACCTATTTATTTATACAAAGTATTATAAAAACACATATTTGTGACTCCTGTATTTTAGGAAAGTCTCTTATTGCCTGATGTCTAAGTGTCAACAGAAGGAATTTTAATTACTTCTTTGGTTGGGTAATAATGCTACTTTAGGGCTCTAAGGACTTTTCTTATATTTTGTAGCTTTCGGATGATTTGACATAAAGAACTCTAATAAAGGAGCCCCTTCCTTTCAACTCTTAGAAAGGGACATCTGGCAACCCTATTCATATCTTTGAATGCACAGTTCCTCTTGCTAGGACGGAATTTAATTCTTTGCTTAAAACCAAACCCTTGAATTTTATTTTCCTCTCCCTCTCATTTTCTTTTTGTTTTGTGATAAAAGTGAATTTGAAAAGTGGCAATACTACTTGATTGGTGCTTAAAAACAATGAGAAGTAATTTGTTAATTTGAATGTATCCAAGACAATGTCAATGGAGGGGAGGGGAGGTGGGTGGAAGTAATCTGATTTTTGTTTTGTTGAAAGTGAGTGCACCAGATGTTCTAGTGAGAGACAATAAGGGAGAAGCTCCATGAGACTGAATGGTCAGAACTGATTTTTGCACAGGACAAAGCTTGGCAGAGGGATCCAGCATAGATGCAGCAAAAGGTTTTATCTCTATCATCAGCTACTGTATAATAAGTTACTGAATTACTGAGTTGCTGAAGCATTCCCCTCATCACAAAGTTTAATTTTAAATACAGATAAAGAATAATTTTTAAAATGGCAAGAAACTCTGGCACATGAGAAGGATGGTATAGAAGGAGAATCCCTGACTACTGTTCTCTTATTGTTATGGAAGATTTGAATGATGGACATCTGCTCACTTGGCTAGACAGCTTCAGAGTAACAACATCTATGGGTGAACAAAGGATCGGGCAGACTGACAAAGGCAGTAGAATCCTTTGGACAAGGCTGATCCAAGGCCTGATATTAACTACCATAAGAAAAAGGTATTTCATGTTTCACATCCTGGAAGATCACCTAAAATAGAACAATATGCAAAGGAAGTCTGAAAGAAAGAGGCTCTATTTTGTCCTCTGAAATGGGATAGAACTGATGGGGAATGATTGAGTAATTGTTTGTCAAAGATATATTAAAATAAGTTAAATCCTACCTTTCCTTTCCCACCTTAAATACACCTTCCCTGTATCCCACACCAATGCATGCAAATTATTGGTTTCACATTATCTACTGGAGTGGGAGACTAGCACAGTTGAATACCTTGAATGTTGATTACAGTAGAAGGAAGGGGATGGTCTCTAGCATGAACTTTCCTGAAGACAGGCTTGCCTGACAAAATGGCAAAAATAATTCATGTCAATTGGCTGAACTGGGTTTCAATAGTTTGTTAATGGAGTTAGACTCTGTTAGAGAAATCTACTAAGATAGTAAACTGTAATTTCTACTTCACTCAAGGTTATGGCAAGTATAAATGCTCACTACAGACCTTCTGGAAAATCTGTGAAATAGCTCATGCTATGGAACTCAAACTTCCATCTGAGACAACCAGCGTGGCCCCTCAGGGATAATGGGAACTGGAATCGTGTACCATACAGAAGACTGCAAGTCACACTTTTTTTTGCCTTCTTACATTTTCAGAAACAAAGAATGAGTTACTAGTCTTTGTCAATCCTTCAACGATCACCTTCTGATTAGTAATCTCCCAATGAATTCCCAAATATAATTCATGATTTGGTTATCAAATCTATGACACGTGAACATGGCATTCTGACATATTCTTTATATCTTAAGGAACCAGAAAACAAAGTCTCAATTTGATTTTACTTTATTAAATACTTTGTTCTTCAGATGGATAAAACCTGATTCCTGTTTTTACACAGAGCTTTTTCACTACACCCAATCATGGATGAATGCCTGTGTTGCTAAGCCAAAAACCTTTAGGGTTAGGTAAGACATGTCAAGTTTTGCTAATTGGCAAATGTTTCAGCAGTCCTTGTAAAAATGAAGAGGATGTAAAAAAGAGCCTTTACTGCCAAACAACAGATAGAAGTACAATGATGAGGAAGGAAGGCTCCTTCAATGATAAGGGTAAAGCTGTTTGTTGTTAAGTTTTGTTGATAAACTTAATCAATAGAAAAAAAATCCACTTTGCAATAGTGCAGAGAGTTAAATTCTGGAAAAGATGGTGACAGAAGCTCAAAAAGAAGTCAAACTCATTTAAAAGTTGCATCACAGTTTAAGAGAATATGTGTTCAACTTACATTAATTTGATATTTCCAAATCAACATATGTGTGCCTTAATATTTCTGACAGTCTTCTCTGTACATATAATTTGTTTTAAATTATTCGGTAAAAAGATTTTTCATAACAATATTTAATGTGTTTCATATCAATGATTGTACAAATGATATATTTAGGACAAATAACAACTGTTACTGGATATTGCAAACTTTTTCCCCTCTTGGTCCCAAGAGAAAGATTTTCAAAGACAAAGCAGATATTTGATATTTTTTCCTGCTACATTTGCATATTTTCTCTGCATCACAATTAGTTGCATCGGCAACATTTTTACAAAAAACTTATCATTAATTCAGAGCTCAGTCTAACTGACTATGGAGTTCCTGAGCATCCATGCAAATGATTCCTTATAGAACTCAACAGCAATTTATCATTTACCCCAATTAGAATTAAGTGCTTTGTCAATGGCATATAAGATATAAGATGAATGACAATTTATTCCAGGCACTAGCTGGGCAGCTGATATTGCTATTTAAGTATTTATTCATATTTTTATCCTGTCCTTTTAAAATATATATCCAGTTTTCTTTTCTCTGCTTCATCTGCACAACAACTTCTAGGAAAAGCAAGGGATTTATTTATTTATGCTTTTATTATTTTTATAAATGACTCAAGGTGGTGAACATGCCTAATATTCCTCCTTCCTCCTTTCCCCCACACAACAACCCTGTGAGGTGGGTTGAGCTGACAGAAAGTGATTAGCCCAAAGTCAGGCTAAGGGTCACTCACTGGTCTGACATAGGAAGTCTCAGATGGTTTATTTCTGTGTCTTGCATTTAAATTCTCTTACAGCTGTGGTGAGTACATATTGCAGCAGAATAGTGGGATTTTTATTTTATTTACTTAAAATAGTGGGGGGGAAATCTAGATGACTAAATGTAAACTTTCTAAAATATAAAATGTAATGAAAAATACAGCTGAAGATAATTTGGTACCAAGTACTTTGAAGATACCTTAGCAACTTCAGTCACCATATTTTGCTGGTTGTAATGTTTGGAGCCTTGTTGTTAGCAGACTGGAAGTATCTTAAAACACACCATCATCTAGTTTCTCACGTTAAGCCTTCAAGTAATTCTCAGAAAATAATTGTTTTTTTAAAAAGTATAAGCTTATTAGCATGAAACATGTGATGTTAGGTTTGTGAGAATGCACTCATAATCAAAAAGTGCTAGTTACTCAGAATGTGGATATGAAAGAAATCAAGATATCTTACCATTCAAACATTTCCCTTAATTATAAAAGCAATGACAAGAACAAGCCAAGATGTTAACAAACATAATATAGAATGACAACTTCCAATACATCTGTTAGCTGAATCTACATTCACTATAGCTTTAATATGATGGCTGTATAGTTCTGATTTATAAAAGCTCCTTGGCTTTTTCCCCAGGGTTGAGAAAGGACCTGTGATGCTTCTGAAGCCAGGTATTCAAGATCCACTCCAATCCTACAATAAGCTATATACAGCTCATAATATTTTAAATCTAAGTAGATTGAAATGCAGAATATTATAACATTTTTGTTCAAAACACAAAAGGTAATAAGGAGATTGTTTTATGCAACCTCCAAAGAAATGAACACGCCCTCATACATTTTAATAGGACTCTCGCAACAGAAGTCCTCGATGGGCTAGCTCAGCTTTCTTCCTGTGTTATAGATAGGTTTGTCTGATGTTACAAAATACATCTTTTGACTTTTCATGAAGGGTGATAGTAGAATAAATCTTTGATTAACTAGTCTGAAATTTTGCACTTGGTCCCCAAGGAGATGAACAGCAACACTTTTGGAAGTCTTGCTATATATTAATCTTTGAAAGGTCAGAGATTAAACTAGTTTTCTTAACACCAAAACAGAGTTCCAGTTGGATCAGGCAAAAAGGCCATCTTGTTCACTATCCTATGTTTTATAAACAGTGGCCAACCAGAAGCCCATTCAAAGCCTACAGATAAGATAATGGGGGCAACAGACTTCTCTCAGCTTTGATTGCTAGCCACTGATATTTTATTTTATATTTGTTTGATGTATATCTCATTATTCCACAAAGAGTGCAAAGTGAAATACAGGTAGCCTTTGCTTAGTGACCATAAGTGAGATCAGCAACTTGGATGCTAAACTGAAAAAATCACTTAACAACAATAGGGCTCACAACTTTACTTTCCCTTCAGTTGCTAAGTGAAGCAATGTGGTTGCTAAGTGAAAAATCATGTGATTGCAAATTATATTTTCTTCCATCTTCAATATTAACTCTGCTTGTTACAAGCGAAAGTGGACGCTAGTTGTGAAGCATGTGAATGATCACATGATGGTGGTATGCTGCAATGGTTATAAATATGAGAATTGGTCAGAACATTTTTTAAGCACTGTCATAACTTCAAATGGTTTCTGCATGAGATAGTCAATAACTGAGACCTGTTCATAGTATTCCCTCAATTCTTTTCCTCAACCCTCCAACAATATTGTGAGGTAGTTAGAGTGACTAGCTCAAAATCCCCCATTGAGCTTTGGTAGCTGAAAGTAGGCTTACGTTTAGGACTCTTTAGTTGACGCTCAACATTTTGACCATCATACAACACTAGTTTTTTGGGGCACTACGTATTGCTAGCAAATAATTGATAGCTAGATATAATAGTAAAAAAAGATCAGCTGTATAAAATTGAAATTGAGCAGAAAAATAATTGAAAATCCATACCTGTAATTGTGAAGCCACCTAAAGGAATGCCAAAACAGAGAGAAAAGAAAGGAAATTAATATATTGTTGCACTGTGCATTACTTACATCACTGAAGCTTTGCTCTAAATATTAATTACATATTTCCTAATAGGAATATGTTCAGAGTGTATTTATTTTTTATCTGTATGGCTTGTCAATTTCTCAAATATGAACATCAAATGAAATATAGAAAATCATACCCTTGTCAATCATAATTGGTTGAAACATATAGTTAAAGGCAAGATTAGAAATTAGAGAATAATCTTCTCTAACGTGTTTTTCTTCAAATGTGTTGAGGCTATAATAATCAAATTTGAAACAAAAATACATTGCCTTTGAAAAATGTTCCCTTGGTTGTTTTCAGAATTCACAGAGAAGCATTTTATTAGCAGGAAATACATATTTTTCATGCAAAAGATCAGTCTGGTACCTTCCACATGTGCTGGATATCAGTACACATCCCCTGCAGCCTGTGTCCTAGTTGGAGGTGATGCTATAATCGAGTACACCTAGAGGATGTTGGGTGCAGAAGCCTGTACTGAGATCTCAAAGTAAAAAGGATCTCAAACAATATGTCTAAAAGCCTCTATATGATCTGATGTTAACATTTAATATTCCATTACATATTCCATTTTCCCTACAGCATCATGCCAAACTTTCTTGATTCCTTCACATTCAGTTGTCATAATGTCTATTCAACTGTATGAAGCAGCTCCTTCTGGGATGGATATGCAAGTCTGAGGCCTACTTTTGTTATTCTCTCTCAAGAGAATGAATACGTGATCTCACTCCAATGCAGTAAAAAACAGGCCCGTGATATATACACTCAGGGAAATATCCTGACTGTGCTAAGGTTGCCTTTCCCAACTGTGCCTGTCCATTTGTGTTGGACTTAGCTCCTGTAAATGCCAGCCAAAATAGATTTATGGATATTGGTTTTATATCAAACTGAAGGCTGACAGCTTGGAGAAGACTGGTATAAGAAAGTTGTACATATTGAATGAGCTTAGATTTCTAAATAAAACTTGGTTTATCCTTTGTCTCAATGTGTTGAAAGTTTATTTGTAAAGAATGGTAGAATTGTGTGGAAACCTATCCTAGGTGAATGTCACAGGGATAGATGAGAACTGTTCTTGTCAAGTTTTATTTATTTTTACGACAAATGTGTATCCTTTATGGGGTTGTCTAAGAATGACCAAATTGTTTCTGAAAAGTGGAATTTAGCATGTGAAAATACTTCAGGTCCAATTGCAAATATTCTGAAGAGATCAGAATTTCTCATTTTCATTTACCAAAACAAATAACTGTATGATCATAAAAAGGTAATTTTCTTTTGAGCTATTTCTGTAGCAGGTCCCAAAGACATGCAGGAATGACTTTTCCTTGAAAAGACATATGGAAATAGATTGTTCCCTTACTGTTTAAAGTGGCCCTCTAGTGCCATCAAGGAATGCAACATAGCCATGGATAAACAAGGATAACTGGTTAAGTATCATGGAAGTTGTAGTCCAAAACATTTATTGACACTAAACTGGCGAAAGCCATTTTAAAGGGAATGCTTAAAAAGGAACCTATTATGTCATGCTGCAAACCATAAGACAATTAAAAAGAGACATTTGCTGTTCATTAATGTACCAAAAGAAAGACTGAATACAATGTGAATCTTTGGCCTGATTAACTTATGCTCTGGCAACAAGCTTTGGGGATAAGAACTTATAATCAAATATAATAATAATAGTAAGGTTGGAAGGGACCTTGGAGGTCATCCAGTCCAAGCCCCTGCTCAGGCAGGAAACCCTATACCATTTCGGACAAATGGCTGTCCAGTCTCTTCTTGAAAACTTCCAGTGTTGGCGCATTCGCCGCTTCTGGAGGCAGGTTGTTCCACTGGTTAATTGTTCTAACTGTCAGGAAGTTTCTCCTTAGTTCTAGGTTGTAGTATCTTCTATTTTTTTATAAGTTCTTTCCTACCTTGATTTAGGTCAAAGGCACACTGAATCTGAAGGATCATTTTCAAGCCAGTATATGCGGAGAATGAATTTAAGCAAAAACTGTCATTCAATAACTGACATAAATTGTTTTAATAATCTTTAAGGGGACGGCTTCCTTGAATCTTTTGAGAAAAATAAAGCATGAAATAAATTGAAAAAATAATGTACATAAAATACATTGATTGACCCTCCCATATGGAAAAGAAATGCAAGAAATGCAGTGCTTACCAAGCTCATTCAACAACAGGGCTGTGGAGAAGACACAGAAGGACAAATACAGAAGAAAAAAAAATGAGCAATGAAAGTAAAGAAGACATCCACAGAAAAGCCTCAGATCCACGAGGCCAGAAAGCGCAGAACTGCAAAGCTGCAGGATACCATTACTACAAAGAAAAATAGCATGAGAAATAATGGAAAAAACACGTTTCATGGGAATAAGCTGTGAAATTGTGGGAAAATATTAAATGCACTGTTACGTTTCATGTAACAGACAAATCTTTAATTCAATGTTCCCAACTTTTTGATCACATTCTTGATATATGCAAGGATCTTAATTCTGGTTCATTGACAGCTCTGCCAGAGATTGAGGAAATAATATGTCACAATGGATATGTGCGATCATTTGCCTTTTTTTTCCTTAAAATAAAAAAGGCCAACCAAATCATTCCTATGCCTGGAATTATAATGCCCTATATGTGCCTTTATCCTTTTTAGGGACTAAGGTGCATCTTGCGTTAACAAGGGGAAGGCTTTGGTTGTAATGAACAGGGCTGCTATATGTGCGTTGAAAAATCCAGATTAACTGGAAACAGAGAATTAGGCTTCTCTATAGTGATTTGCTGCCATTTCATGGTCTGGATATTTGAAGCCCAGATCTGGTAGCTTTAGTACAGAAGGTAGAGGCTTCTGCCTAAGGACACAGCCACAGTTGGAGCGATGCACTAGGAATGTAATAAAAATGTGAAATAACGTAAGTATTTTGATTGATAATGCTTGCTCTTGTCTTGTGCTTTGATTAGAGAAAAAGGTTGAAAATATATTCTCTAATATGCTTGAAAGCATCCCTGGATGACAAGCAAATATTTCAAACTAAACTGCACTATTGACTCTAAGCACTTATAATCATTCCAGTTTTTCAAATATACTCACTTGTGTATGAAAATGTGATGTACTTCTACAACTGAAGACAAGTCTTAGCTTTTAAGACAGCCAAAACTAAGTTAACAGAGGATTTCTTTTCAACAGTTACACTAGCTTCAGTGTACTACACTCCAGATATAATGTACAGCTATCATCTGCAACCAGCACCTGCAAGATTAGGTTTGGGAGTGTCACAGCCCAAAATATCTGGAGGCAAGCTGGGAAAAGTACCCATTTCTTTTATTTTAGTGTTGCCTCTGGTCAATAGATTTGGCAAAGATTTGAACTAATATGTAGAACCTATTTGAGCAGAGAGAAAAAGTTGTATGAATATATTTATTTCAAAGCATGGATTCCGCTCTCAAAATGGTTTCAATTATTTGAAAGAAAAATAATTATCCAACTGTGTTTGATATCAACGATTCTGTATTTGCAGTTGGAAGAAAAGAGTTACTAGGTGAAACATATTTTTGTGAACATCCTCACTGTATAAAACATAGCTATTTTCTTAATCAAGTGTGACTCTGTTTGGAATTGTAATGTGACAGGTAAAAAAGCTTTTCAAAAATAAGGCTAGATTAAGTCTTCTAGTCTTCAATTCTCCCAAATATCATGTTGCCTTGTGAATAAGACAGAGCTGATTCCTGCTCAAGAGAGCTTGCAGATCTCCTGGAAGCTTTTCAAACTATTCTAGGGAGATCCACTCCATAATTTAAGATGCATTTTGAACCGAGAGCCTATTGAATTTTCAGCATCAATGCTTCCTTTTAATCTGGAAACTGCAAGCCCAATTCTTTAGGATATATTATGAATATTACATATAGATAGCTATTTTCTTTAGCCAAAACAAGATAACTCTTGTTTTTTTTCATTTAAAATATGATATATTTTTTTAAAAAAAATAAGAAATTGATTTCTTGCAAAATATGCCTAAGGGATATTTTGGGAGCAGTTAGCACATTTTTTGTATTCTTAGCATTAAATGTTTGTTCAGGAATCAGTCTCAACATTTTTTAAATTGCTGCAGAATATTTTTATTCCAAAAAAACGTATGCAAAGTATGTCCACAGAGATCCAGTTACAGATGCATAGGTTTTTTTGAAGGAACTTTACTAGATGAGAAATCTACTGTATGTGGCACATCAATATATACACTGGGGTATACTTGTGGTATAGGCTTCCTTGTAATGTAATAGATAGAATGGACATATCTATTTTGCTATGTTTATCTATCCACAAGTTAAGGTAGCAGGCAACTCCGTGGGCTTCTGTCCTTAGCTAAGTGGGCAAAGAGTGAAAATAAATGTATACATGTGCCTTATATACTCACATTAAGTGTGAAGTGTTTACATGATATCTGCATCAAATGTATAGTTCTCAAGGAATAGACAATGGGGAAAGAAAATATTTAAAATACAATATCAACTGATATTATAAGTTAAAGATAATACATGTGTTGATACATCAATCATTATTCTCCTCTCCACCATGGCCTGTTCTGATAGGACCATAATGCAACTTCTTTTAAACCAAACAATGTATCTAGGCTCCATATAAAATTTTATTTTGAGCTGGCTTCTGTATTTCATCCTGGCAGGGCTTGTTAACACTGAGCTGCAACAAAAAATTCCTTGAGTAAGAATTGATTCACCTCAAGGACAAGGAGAAAATTTAGGGGGGAGGGGAGGGCTTTGGAATCAATCAAATATATTCAATATGAAGCCAGCTAGTTTAATTGATCTATAAAGTCCTCTGGGAGACTTTGTAATTGAAGTGTAGACTAGGAATGTTTCATATGAATAAATAAAATCATCATCTTAATAATATTAATTTGTTGTACAATTTATTTGATTGTTTTATTTTTAATTGAATTGAATTCTCTCTATTTCCAGAATATTGGCAGAGATTTACATTTTTAGAAAAAAACCCTAAATATTTAATGAAATATTAAAAATATCCTTGAGAGGGGATTGGAAAAGACTTATAGATGTATATATGTGCACAAACCTGAAATAAGGGTACAAGTCTATACTGAATATAGCATCCATTTCATTGTGGATATTTTAGTCTATTGTTTGCAAATGATTTATAATTTGGAGGAATAATTAAAAGGACACTAAAGAATCTGCCCTTTGAGAAACAAAACTGCAGTGGTCGTAATATTGGGATTTTATTGCATCCATATCACAAGATATATTATATAAATAATTTACATGGTATGTTTAAGTGGATCATAATAATCATCAAGAATTATTTTTTTAAAAAAGAGAAAGAGATAGATGCAAAATTAAAACTGCTAAGCTTGACAGAGGTCATGACACATTAAGTGGAAGTTGAGTAAGAAAGTTGTGAGAGGAGGGAGACACACATAGGGAATGGTCCCAGTTTCTTGTAAGGTGCCTGGGTTTACTCTCACACCTTTCATTCTTCTTCGTATCCATATTGGTTCCTCAAGCACAAGGTAGAAACTGCACTCTTTCTCATATTCCTCACGGTCAAGTATTCTAAGGGTAATGAATTTCCTGTGGGAACACAAGACAAAGGCAAAACAAATGGTTGGTGTTACACACACACACACATGCTTTAAGTTTGACCCAGCTGAGATGGTGGTTGATGGTGATGATAATGGGGGGAACTCTGACCCACACATCCCTAACTTTTATGTATGTAAGAGAGCAGAAAGCCTCTGTTCTGGAAATTTTCCTGGTGATCAATATAGTTAAGTACATCCTAAAGAATTTAATACTGGAACTATATTGCTATGGGCATGAAAAACAAGTGTAGTGTTGATCATTGTTTTGAAAGACAATGGATTTGCTTTTGACTATTCATTTGCTACAGTCCTATTCACTGTATCTCAATAGCTAATGAACATATTTTATTAGAATTATCTTATGAAGTAACTTCATATGAGACACACTCTTTTTCAGACATGCATTTTATGAAGAATGAATATATGTGGTCATTGTGTGCATCAAACCGAGAGGTAGACTTTGCCTGTGGTATATTTGAATGCATTACAGCACCTGAAGGCATAACTATCTAACCCATATCGAAGTATGTTTGGCCTCCTTTGAATGAATACAAAAAGATGGATCTAACGTTACTTGCCAGAGGTTACTCTGTAGAAGAACAATTTGAATCTTTCACATAGTATTCTTTTCACTATATGGCTAAAACTATGCCTAAATTTGACAGCTAATGGAATTTAGGATACCCTAGCAATGACACTTCTAGTCAGTGACTCAGCTCTCTGCCCTTTTACATAGATAATGGGAATGTGTGTTTTGACAATCTATGAGTTGGGATGTGCCAGGCATCCATCAAGACAAGTGCATATAGGTAGGGCTCAGCCCCATATAGCCGATCCCCCACCTTTCTTTTCACTCATCTCCACCAGACGGGGCTCCCCAATTTCAATGTAGAAGGTCTTGTTTTTCTCATACTCCTCATCATCAATTACTTTGATAGATATCGTTTTGCTGCAACAGAGAAGAATAGAGATTCGAGAATAAGGGAGGAAGAAGAAAATGGGAAGGCAACAAATGCAGAGAAAGGACAAAGCTGTAAGAGTGAAGGAAAAAAATTGAAGAAATTAAAGGATATTTTACCATGCTGTCAACCTAAGATAAGCTGTTTCTATGATAATGTATATAAAATTGTCTAAGATCACAACTGTCTTTGTGAAGGCCATATTTGCATGAAAAACATAATCAGGTCCAGCAAATATATTATTTGTTCTCTCAACCTATGACATGCTAACACAATAAGCTTATGTTGGTCAAAGGCCAATTTAACTGGTCTGGTTTGGGAACTGTACATTAATCAAAATCTTAGAACAGAGATTCTTAGTTGTTTCAAGAAGATAAAATGACTATTTAAAATAATCTAATCCTGTTCGCCAATGCTAACCTATATCTTCCTAGTGATGTTTAAACTGTGGGGGTAAGAACTGCTCTGTATTATCAATAAATAACATAAATCATCCTGTAATATCTTTATATCACAAAATATTAGCTTCTTCATTTTTTTTAGTTATGGAAATGTCCCATATTTTCTGATTAATTGTAGAATTATATCAAGTTGTATTTAAAAGGGAGAGCGACCAATATTCAAAATGCTGCTTTAAAAGCATTTTATGTAACATGAGTTCCTTGCTTCAGCCAAAGATGCTTCCAGGCAGACATTTACTGCACAAATGTCTCTTCTTACAGAGCATTTTAGTAAGAATACATTACTTCTATTATTTTCTTTTTAGATTAAAATGTGTTCTGTTGGAAATAATACTGAATAGCTGGGTTTTGACTGACAGCTCTATAGCCTATTTGCTGGAAGCAAACCAAGTGCCTGCATTCCTAAAGAAGTCCACTTAGAGGATGGATTTTGATTTCAATGAATCTCACAATCACCTAAGTGCTCATAAAAGTGTTCACCTGTCCTCAAATGCTATGTATCTTTTCTTAGAAGTAAATCCTGCAATTATGAATGGAATTACTCCCAGATAAATAGACACAAGATTCTAGTAAACACAGAAACACATGCAAACATACAGATAGCTGTGCCTATAGAGGAAAACCAGGAGAAACCCGGTGCTGAAAAGAGAGCTGGCAAACAGAGCTAAGGACCTTTAGTGTCTGGAACCATATAGAAGAATGACAGTCTTTCAAACATGATTTTTTTCTCAACAACACCAACAGAGCAGTAGAACAGCAGAGATCCAAAGCTGTCTTATAGGATACCAACCTTTACCAAAAACACCTATTTGTCCCCCTCCCTCAACACCCATTTGATCTTATTCTTTTTCCTACAGCTTTCCTGATTAGAATTAGCTTTTTGCAGTTATGAAATACCTTTTGCATTTATTTTCTCTGAGTTATATATTTATTTTTGTAGCCATATGAAATACTATATGAAATTTATTTGCATCTGCTTTTACTTACTGGTTGAAAAGCTATTAGCCTTGGATTCAACATGTGTAAATGTGATTCTTTTAGTCTAAACAAATCAGTTCTGACACTTCACACTCAAATATTGTACATGAGGCTGCAGAGGACACATGTTATTATATGCCCCATAACTAAGACTGCTATCACTTGCAGATTTAATATCTGTTGTTTATATTTAATATCCATTTGAAAAGTTTAGAGAAACAGGAAAAGTTTGCATATGGAGCTGCATGTTTTAGCCATTATTACCTTGGATTATAATGTATATTCCTAAGAAAATTAAAATATATGCGATGTGCAGTGCTGAATAGAAATGATAGTGAATGGCTCTTCAATTTTAATACATTTGTTAAGTAAGACCCGTAAATACACCACAGATGAAAAGTTATCTTACTTTTTTCCTTGAGAAAACTAGGCTTCTTCGCTAGATTTGTACATCATGTTGAAATTGCAAAGACTTAGCATGTTAAGTCATTAAATTTATTTTATGGGAAACCAAAA